GCAGTGGGGTTTGAACGGTTTGAACGGTTTGAACGTGTGCTACCCTGATCCGAATATCAACGCACTAACCCACTGCGCCACACGCCTCACTAAAAGTACTTCATTTGATTGTTGGTAGCAGTCAAACTAGCACTGAGTACAGTGTCAGTTTTATTAAGAACTTATGGTACAAATGATTTGTATCGCAAACAAAGCAGAAAAAACATGCATTATTTTACTCTTGCACTAGCGTCAGTGCCGCTTCTCGCCGATTACCGTAAAGGCGCGATTAACCGCGCACTCAAAAGAGCTGCTGATTTGACCAAGCCAACGCGAGAGACGGCTGAGTTGACCGCAGTACCGAAACGGACGACACTATCATAATATCTTCCGAAAACAAATGCCAGTGTCACACACACACCGGACCGGACATCTCCTTCATAAAACTATTAATAAGGTGTGTGTGTGTTAAAGTGTTTCTGGACTTGTACATTTGTCTCAGTTCTTGTAAAAGTGTTTCACACTTTGTAATTCTCGTTTGCACTTCTCAGCCACCGTAAGAAAGAGATCACATAACATAGTGCAAATAAAAGGACTGAAAGTGACCCATTTTGTAAAACAACTACAGTATAAGGTTGTAACATTGGTGTAATAGTGCTGCTACTAGCCAGTTGTTCACTTGCTGGTTAACTGCCCGGGATGATGAATCATTGATGAGAGAACAAGTGTGCTCAGAGGTGGCAGGGACGGACAGCTGACTTGTTTTCAAACGGTTTCGCTCTCATCTTCCTCTGTATCCTGCAGGAAAGCACATTTTAGGTCAAGTGAATGTGTGTTGACTCCATGATAGGCTATAGGGAAATAGATGGCACCCAATTAGACAGCACACATGGAGGTTTCATCCCAAAAAGGTCACAGGGATAGATTGAACATCTTGCTTGTCGTACAATTAGACATTCGAGCCAGGAGCGGGTTTGGATTATGATAGGACAGTTAATCTATTTGCTATTTATTTATTCATGTCCCATCTGAGAGGAAATATAGACTACTGGTCAAAGCAACTCATGTATCAAAGATAAGACCTGCTTATCATTGTTTATTGTTGTATCAAAATGTACCTCTATTTCTGTTTGTAATTTATACAAATGTTGGCTGATACAGGAAACAAAGCTAATCTTAATTAGTTTTATTATTTTGTGGCAGTTTGCTGTATATGAAAAGGGTTTTTGATCATTTTGATACTTTACCTTATTTAATGAAACATCTTATGCTAACAACAGAGGGGAGTGATAAGAAAGAAACTTGATATGCACATGTTGAGTCAGAGTTCTTTGAAATACATCAAAGGGCAACACTCTGTATATCAATAGAAAGTGGAAATGAAATGTATATTCACGGATTAAACAGGAACAATACCTGCAGGGTGGGAAACCTTTTTAATAAACACCTCCGTGAGGAGAGAGTTAAACGGTGATGATGAGATTTGTTAAAACATAAAAATATCTCTACAGCTCTTGTCAGCCATCATGCTGTAAGGACTGTGAATGTAAAACTGTTGACCAGTATAGATATATGTTAGAGGTTTGAGATAAACACACACATCAAACATGTTTATTTAAAGTGAGAACAAATGCTATCTTCCTTAGGAAAAAATACCCACTCTCAACCATCTATATATTAATTGATATGCAATGCACACAAGTAGCCTCAAGATTTAAATGTTTTAAGTCTTTATTGTGATATTCAGAACAGCTGCAGTGTAGTTCCTGGCCAGGCTTCTCCAACAATGATCCATACAAATGCTGCAAGAAGAAATAAAATCATGTAACATAATTAAGTAAAAGTAAAATATATACAAATATAGAGAAAAATAATCGCAAATCACTAAAGTAAGAACATTTCCCCCAAACAATTCACAATGTTTTAGTTCCTGGCAGGAATGTAAACAACAATGTGGCAGGACTAGAACTATACATTTTATCAAACCTCATCAAAGTTCATCCGTTTTATTTAAACATAAAATTCAATTTCACTGAAATGATTGTTAACTAATCTACTAAAAATGTGTCATTGCCTGCTCCGCTTCACATGCCACAAGAATGTCGAAATGTCAGCACTAATTAATTTTGGCTGTGACAACCTATTTGGAGTTGGAAGAAAAATGTTTAATTTCCTGTGCTCAAGGCAAGAATCCACACATGCAGCAGAGTGAGGACTCGAACTGTCAAATAGTGGTGAAAATATTCAGGGTCTCACTTCTACCAAAGAGGATATGAGGGGGTTTCATGGTAATGGTGTGTTAATCAGTCAAATCACCTGATGTAGTCTCTGGGAGGAAACTGCAGTCCTCAAGAGTTAACGGAAAAAAATATGATAATTATGAACAAGTTCTATTTTAACAAGGTAAGTGTGTCTGTCAGAAATGCACACATATATTAGTACACATCTTTCTCACATGCTGTTTCTTTCCCTCATCTGTGACAGTATCCCATGGAGACACGTGTGTGTGTGCGCGCCTACAGTATCGTGAACTGTCTTTGTCTACATTTCTCTGCTCATTATCGTAGCAGGTTCAAGGAGATGGGAACTCATTTGCATAGCAGCCCCAGGGCGTCGGAGCCAGGTGATTCATACCAGCTCCTTCACTCTTATTTTGAAGAAGATTAGATTAAAACCAATAAATCTGCCGAGATCACCCTGACCCATAGGAAAATGAGTCAGGTGACTGGTGTGGGACCATCCAACATGTCTCTTGCCCTCTTTGAATTGCCCAGAAAAGCCATATTTGTCACACAACCATGGCAACATTGCAACCCTGTGCATTCATTTTCGTTCAGAGACGAGGCTTTCATGTAATTCTGAGGATGTTCATGCAGCGAGAGGCAGACTAGTGAGAGCATAACAATTCCAATAAAGCAAGTTATATCGTGTTGTAGGGTGTGATCTCTCCATGAATGTGTCTATGTGGGAAAGTACCTATGAAAAACCACAAGACATCCTGAACTAAGAGAACAAAAAAAGGCATTTATCCAATAGAAAAATTGTAATTAAACTTAACGTCTTTTCATTAAGCACATATTCATTAAAAATAGTGTCTTCAAACGAGAGTGGAGATTTAGAGAAATCTGCTTCTCAAAAGAAAGCACTTTAGTTTCAATAAATGGTCACTTGATGCCTGACAGATTCAAATGAACATTTTGGACCTGAGGTCTTTCTAATTAAGTAGATTTATTTAATTAGTTCTGATCCAACTTTTTTAAAGCTCCTTAAACACATATCGTGATCTGTTGTTGGTTACTACTTACTAGTTTACCAAATGGCCTACCCTTGGCAGCAGATAAATGAAAACACTTCTAATGAATTGATGATAATGTGTTTTTTATAACTTAATAGCATTATTGAGGCAATATTCTGCATGATTTGATTTTTAATATTTGTTGGTTTAGCTACATTTTACTGATACTTGTACAGCATAGTCTGTAAGTAGAATGTTTAGTACAACTTCAAATAGTCATTTAAGTTTGCGTTATTGCTACAAGTGTTACATCTGAATACATATCTACAGCTGTAGCCGAAGATGCATTTGTTGATAGTTGAAGACATTTGATAGGATTAACGCACGACCGCTCTCCACATAGTTTGATGTGTTGAAGAGTTTGGATATAAGAGGAACAGCACTAATGAATGGAAACGTATGCTGTTATATCATCTTTTATTCAGGAGGAGTAACCATTTTGTGAATTGGCTATGTTGCAAACATATTATCACATTTCAGATTGAAACATACTACAGTAAAGCTAGGCTGATTTTAAGGATCTTGCACTGCTTAGGAGAGATCTACAGTCTTTTTGGTCATGTCTTCCTGCGTCGTATGTCTTACTAAAACATTCATGTGTCACTTAGCGACCGATCACAGCTCAGCCTTGTGCTGCGGGACTCTGACGGCCCTATGGAGAGCGATCCTCTGCAATCCTTTGAGAACTCTGTTAAAGTCAAACTAAGCAAGGCAAATGTCCTCTAGAGAAGACATTTTATAATATGTATTACCCCTCTACTCTCTACACACACACCACAGGACGGTGCAAATGTAGACATGTTGATGTAAATGATAATGCAACTTGAATGGACTCGCATGGATGAACATATTCATATTAATGTGCCACAGACATAGTGTTATGTCAGCAAAGTGAAGACATCTTCAACCTGCATATGTCTGATATTTTCTGCTTGTCGGAAGTGTTGTGCCTATCGTACAACATCACAATTATCTTTGCTGTCGATCTTTTCATAAGCCACATCTTGGGAAGCATTTGATCGAGCAGAACAAAATCTACCTGACTGATCAGGCCATTCTGCTTTTTATAACTGAACGCTAGTCGCAGTATAATATTTCACATGCTTGTCTAATTTCAGCATATTGTGATTATGAGCGCTTAAAACCTCAATTAGAGAGACCTGTCAAAGTAAAGCTGTGGTGTGATAACTTCCATTTACTTCAATTTCCTTCAGGGATGTGCGTATGTGCACGAATGAAGACAAAATAAGCCACAATGTCTCTTGTTATATGTTAAGAAAATATCACTCGTCACCAGCTTGGTCTTCAATATCAGGATACATGTATTTATTATCATCACACACATAGGTTGCGTGTGACAAATAGTTCCCCAAATAGTGTCCTTGACATGCTTATATACAAGAGAGGGTGTTACAGTCACAAGATGCAGAATACCGGTTCAAATCAGTATTCAATGTTTAGTTCAGATTAGCTAAGCCTGCATAAGCAATACACATGACAGTCATATGTCTATCTCCATAGAGGCTGAATCATCATGTTAATCGTTGTCACATAGCTATCATATGCCTAAAACAGTGTGTCCTGACGCTCTTCTAGGTAATCATACATCCTGTTACGTACACAGCTACGCAGGGCCGTTGTTATCATGTGCTACGTTGAAGAAGATTCAGTATTTTCCCCAACATTATACATCTCATTTTCCATTTTGTGTCCTTTTCTTCCACAGGAGAGGAAGCTGTGTGCATTCCCAACTATAGAGATCTGTGGCTCAGATGTCATCAACTACATGGTCCCACTGTCCCGCCAGACAGACTTCTTTGTTCCAGAGATGAAGGAGGAGGTTAAAGCAGATGTTAAAGAAGAGGACTCTGATGAAGACAGAGGAACTGACATCACAGGTAATCATTTTGTTAATGTTTTCCTTTAGTAAGGAAAGAATTCACTGCAGCAGACGGTAAACTTTACCAAACAAGATCATTTTATTTTACTGAAACAAAAGTTATAATTTGTATTTTGCCATCTAATTGCAGTCCATTGAAGCGTGTTGATAGAAACAGAGGTTTCCACTCCGTTGATGCTACAGCTTGTGTCAGTGAGAAGCAAACAAAGAGGACATATGTGACAGCTTTAATTTTGTGTGACATCCCAGTGACTCCCCTCCTGCCCCTGATCACTGAGGACATGTGATATAGGAGACTCTGTAATTGTTCTGTCACTACAAGTATGTGTCTTCAAGCGCAATGTCTTCTCTGCTGCTATCACTCTTTCAAACCCGCTGCACCTGTAGGCTGGACGCATGGCGGTATTGACTTTGTCATTGTACAAATCAGGAGAGAAAGTAAATGCTGTTGGTGCGAAGGGACAGAGTGGGTGGAGGTGAGTGGATTTATATCGTGCAGTACACTTGGGTCAGGTTCCCGTTTTAACTTCCCTCGTAAACACAGCTTATGTGTTATGGAAGAAGGTCTTATATGGTCTGTAAATGTTTGCCTGTCTTTAGCATGTTTAGATCAGGTTGAAGCAGATCTTTTTGTGTTGCCTGAAATGAACAAGGCTATTTTTCAGACAGAAATGGCACAGTTGTCAGCTTTGGTTCCAGTGATTTTCTTTTCTCTTTTCTCTCTTGAACCCAGAGTCGAGGCGTTTCACATCTTTAAATTACTTTGTCAGCATTTCAAGACCAAGGGAACGTTTCCATTATGGTTTGCTTTTATACCAAATGAGAAGGTTAGTGAGAAAAACTGAAGTACTTGAAAAACATTTAACTATGGTGATTTAGGTCTTGTCTTCATGTTTTACAATCTTTTGATTAAAGCGTATTTCACACACAATCAGGTAAGGATTTTTCACCTCCCTTAATGCATCCCTAATCTTGGCATTCAGGGTATAACTGAGGAACATCATAACAGGCCAAATCCGATGGTTCGGGGGTAATAGTCTGACAGGCCTAAAGGGGAACGTTTGTATCTACGGTTTGACTTCCTTCGAGCTCTTGAAGGGAGTTTTGGTGTGATAGCTAAAGGTTTTCCTCTCACTGTGTCAGGCAAAATTAATATCCTGAAAAAGATCCCCTGATGGTTTAAACTAAAGGCATTTACTAGAGTATTACAAAATCATCATGAAAGCCAATTTCCTGTTTATCACGTTGGAACGAATAGTGGTAAAAGCACAAATCAGGAGTCTTAGTTAAACAGCTTTAGGCTCCGTGTAAAGTAACCTGGGAAACTTTTAAAAAGCCCCTTTATTGTCAAAAAAGAGCTGAGAAGACGCTAGTGTGTGAATAGAGCTACATAGAATAGAGTTTTTACTTTTACCAACCTTTATATAGCTGTACTGTCTGTTGTGTTTGTGGTACCAACTTGTAAACAACAGATGTAAACTCTTGTCTGTTGCTTTAGAAAGTTGTGTTAAATGTCTGAAACTCTTGTTTCTTGTTGAGGTGTGCATTTTCAGCTTTTGCAGAGTCAGGTGGGGTATACTTTGTGAAAGCAGGTGTGAGGCTGTATGAATGTGTGCAGTGTTCCTACGTCATGGCTGGTAAACCTGTGTGTTATCTGGTTCTGTGTTTGTGCATTACATCATATTTAGGCCTCAATAGCCACCTCCAAAAATGGAGAACCTGTGTTTTTGTTTCTGTTCCCCGACACAGCTGAGGTAACAAGAGACAGATCAATCGGTGTTTCTGAGCTTTGTCTGACAAGCCAGCGGAGGAAATCCAGCTCCGTCAACTGTGAGATTGCCTTTGACTTTTTATCCTTCTGCTCCACTGTCCACATTATATACCGTCTTGTTCATAAACTCTGCCTGTGCCTGAGTATTTGTCCTGTTTCTACCGTCACAGCACACTGAGAGCAAGTATATACCCAAACAAAATGAGGAAACTTTTATGATAATCTGGTGATCACAGCAGCCACTGTTTGTGCTGCGAGAAGCTTATTAATCTTTTAAGGACACAAACCAGCCTCAGTGTAAAATGGGCCAGTGGGCTTCATTTTTATTCAAGTTCCACACGGATTAATGATCCTTTACCAAAGAAAACCACAGGGGACTTATTGCAGCCATTTGAGTTACAACCTTACAAAATATGGCAGGCTTGTTAAACAACGCATTTTATACGGGTAGTTGTAGATAGGCCAATTGTGATTAGTTTTAAAACACCGTATAATGTCACAGCATCGGGTTATAATGCTCTATTAAAGTGATTGATCTAACGTTAGAAGTATAACCACCAGAATTGGCCATTAGGTTAAAGTTGATGCAACATGCCTTAACCCTATTGACTATTGACGCAGCGTTGAACGGGCCCTCGCCCCCCTGTGCTCGGCGGCACATGCACCAGTTGCCGTGGCGCTATACTTTTCGCCTCAAGTCGACGCTACGAATAAAGCTCCACATCACTGCCTGGATGACCTCATGGCTGGCCTTTCATCAAGCCTGTGAAATTGGAGAAGATCAAATAATGTTTAGTCAACACATATAAATCAAATTGTGTGTTCTGCCTTGACCTATGACGTCCTCATGCTGCTATTGCATCATATTTGACATGCAGTTATCCCTTCCAAACTTTTAATTTTTTCTATGATGGGTTTCTAAAAGATCATTAAAAATACAGGAAGTAACTCAATAACTCAAAATTATTCACAATGGAAGACTTCCAGGAAGAAGAGGCCTTGTGGGCACATTCAGCTGGATATGTGTGACACATTTCAAGTAAATCGGATTAACGTTGAGAACGGTGGGGCCGTTTAAGCTTTTGAATATTCCATGACAGAAGTACGTTCTAGGAAGGTTAGTACAAGTTCACTGAAAATACAGGAAACGCGTGTTAACACACATTATTCAAGATACCCGACTTGCAGATGGGCGGGGCCCTGCGGTGCCTTTTTTGTAGAGCACATTCAGCTGGATACAGTATGTGGGTCAAATTCCAAGTCAATCTGAATAACGGTGAGAGAGGTGTGGCCTGTGAAAGAACTTTAAAAACACAAGACAATCGCACAATATTCATAATAGCCAACTTCCAGATGGGTGGGGCTAATGAAAGCCAATTTTAAATATGTTCACAATCATTTGAATTATGTATATAGCAACTTTTGTGAATATCGGAAAAACCATAGCTAGTTGCTTTGAATAATTTCACAGTACAGTAAAATGTCATAAATTGTTTATTCTCCTTGAGCCCACGACCTCGCCGTTTGAGCTATCAACTATTCCTTCGCAATTATTATCAAATAATAATATCTAGAGGGGACGAACTAACACCACTGATTTTGATGAGATTATGACTGGTCCAAAGTGATAGAGGGGGCGCCGGCTCAATTACGCCAGCTCTGCCAGATTAAGAAGCATTCCTTTATTTAATTTTGAGTAAATTGCGTTTGTTTGGTCAAAAGAGAAGGTAATATCTAACACCAATGTCATTTTTGGGAGATACCATAATGTTTTTCAAATGAATACATGAAACAAACATAGATGCCGAATTTATATCATGTTTTCCACATTGATTCGCTCTGTTTGAGTTTTGACTTTTGCTCTTTCAATTCATTTGATTCAATGGCATCCAACTGGAGAAATAGTGCCACCAACTGTTAATCAGGATGTGCGCATATCTCTGCCACATTTAGACTGAAACAAATGTTTACTATAACAACAATAGTAACACATATATTTGCAATACTTTTATGATTATTCTTAAATTCTCCTTCCTTCCAGCTCTAATCTGTAAACAAGACGATCCTTCTACCTCTTCACTTGTGTTTAAAATGTAAACATTTTACTGTAGCGCTTCCCTCCCCATCCTCTCAGGCTCTGATGCCCCTTATGCTCAGCATGCCTCAGCCCTATCTGTTTTTAATTACCTCTCTTCCAAACAGTTGGAAGAACAAGACCTTGATTCTCTGCTAATAATCCCAATGGGCCCAATTTAGCAGCTCATTTAGGCAAATGTTATCCAAAAGACTTTCAGAGGCACAGCTGGCTTCAACCAGGGTACCAATTTCAGGACTTTCTGTTGCAGAGGCGGGGGGAAGTTGTCCAGCATGTTGAGGCTCTTCCTTGGGGGGCTGTCCACCCGATTACCCTAAATAGGCCCATTATTTCACATAATTTCCCTTGTATTGCAAAAAGAGTCCCTCTGGAAGAGTCCTTTTACTGCAACTAAACTTCTCAATGACATCACATTCACACCAGACCTGTTCCCCTGAAGACTATCCCTCCTGGTTTTGTTTGAACCTGCCAGCTAATCAACAGGCCTACTGTATGAATAGATATTATAAATAAACTAAATGGACTTCCCATATATGATTGTCTTTACTGCAGACAGGATCAGATCTGCTGGATGTGATAATTAGATTGCTAAGTGATGTTGAGCCTCCAATGAATGAAAAGGAAAGACTGATTTCATGGAGGAGCCCGGAGACTCTCTGCAAACACACTTTGATGTGTGGATGAGATTTATTTCTAGTGTGACAGCAGCAGGAGAAATAGCTCGGACAATAGTGTGTTGGTGTCCTTTGGGATGGTCAAGTAATCTCGTGTCAGATGTTATTGGTTGAAGAGATTTTATATCTAGGCTTTTCATTTTTAACCAAATTAGATATATTCCTTCACAAATATAAAAAGCGCCAGTACATTATACAATAAGCAGAGGGGCAAGGTTATCAAAGCGATAGAGTAAGAGTCATAAATTGAATAAAATAATTTTGTTTGCAGAGCACGTTTTGGCATTTTGTTTTGTGCTTGAGGTTTCAAGGGGTTTTATCATCATGTGCACAGTAGCTACAGTGTGGTTATAATAATAATCCTTATATTTATTATAGCGCTTTATCAAAGACTCTCAAAGCATGGCAAGTTATGGCAATGGAAATCTTAGATCCCGAGTTCCTCCAACAATGCAACA